GAAGGATCTTTTTGGTGTGGCTTTTGCAAAGCTATTATTAAGCTTAAGACAAAGTTAAATGAAGCGCGGGACGAACGGTTCGATCACATAGCAGAGCACTTGGAACAAGACAACAACAAAAAGAGCATTGAGGAGTGGATATGCGTCGAGCAGAATAAAACCAAGAAGGAATTATTACTCGAGGAGAGGATGCAAAATAATGACGATGAAGAGAGGGCAAAGAACAATGACTTCGCATCTGCTAGAGGGGAACGTGACTGCCATAACCCGCTTCCACCTCCGCCACCCCCACTAGAACACGGAACTTGGGCGCCGACTGATAGGGGCTTGTCGCAGTCATTGCCCCTATATTCTGGTAATGAGGGCAACAGGAAGCGAACCGCACCTGACAACGTTGATGACCTGGATCCAAAGAGCAAGCAAAAGAGGAGAGTGAGCACTACTACGTCCGGATATTGCGTACGTCCACAGCACACAACGTCCATACTTGATTGTTGATAGCTAATCGTAGAGCAGTGTTTTTGTCAGGGCGGACCATGCAACTCGCTTCAGTCTTCATGCCTAGATGGTAACCATGTATTATGTTCGAATTGTGTGTACATTATAGAGGAGTTTACGACTGTGGGTTCAATGTAGCTTTATTAGTAGTGTTGGACAGGGGTCTAGATATTTATGTGCGGTGCTTTAGTCTCCCTTTAAAGTAAAAAGTTCGGCTTCTTTTCTTAGATCTTGAACTTTCTGTTTGAAGGCAGCATTTTCATATTAGATAATTCTATGAGGCAATGAAGTGGCCTGTACTCAATGACGAGTAGAATTGATGTGGAGCTGTAAGGGGCTCTTACTCCCCGCCAACCTCTGCTACCGCAAGCGATGGATGTATTGGCAATGATCAATGTACGTACCAGTTGTACTTTGCGCATCGCTGGTCTGTTAGATTACCCCTCATGTGGTGTCATCCCAGCTGCGTGATGCTCCTCAGCTATGAAAAGTTTGTAGTTCTCAGTAGTTACATATACACAACCATAGTTCTTTGTATTGATGTCTCGTCGCAACCGTAGTTCGCTGTTCTGCTGCCTTCGTCGCAACCGTATTTTGGTTGTCGTACCCAATGGAGGTGCGCCTAATGGGCATATACCTGTTGAGAGGTGTATTTTTGGTAGTATTACCAAACCATTTTCACTTTGACTGCAAAGTCAATTTTTTTGATACCCGAATGCGGCAGGTTGGGGTGTGGCCTGCCGTTCTTTTCT